TAATGGACATTACTACAATGGACACAAGTCTAATGTACACAAAGGACATAACTTTAATGGACATAACTACAATGAATCACTTTGCGTCTGAACACCCACTCAGTGGCATTAACCAAAAAAGTCACGTGAGACGACAGCAACAACACATTGAGGTTCCCTTGACATTGCAGCAAGTTTGCAACACTCAGGTTGTGGAGGTAAAGCACATCACTCTGGTGTTGAGAATAACAAGTGATCCAGTTTGGCTCAGATCATTCAGTGTTTGAGTCATCACTAAACATGAAGTGTTCTCCGTTATACCCATGTTGTTGCGGCTCTGTGTCTCTTCCTCCTCCTCTGCTTCAAAAACACGGGCTTCAATGCACAGTAATTGGTTTAGTTTGCATGAAAAGCATCTACTGAGGCAACTTGTGCATGTGCAGTGTTTGTCAGAGCGCTTAGTGCATGTGCAGTGTTCACTAGAGCACTGTGAACACGTAGTGCTCGCCAAGGCACCTTATACATTTACAAGTAATAAACTGGAACATTACCTGTGGTGCAGCGAGAAGACCCGTCATGTATATGAAAATATCTTCAACTACGTTTCATCTATTTCCCACGGGAAGAGTCAGAAATTGGTCTGAGGACCGAAGCATCCCCCAGCCTTAGATAAAGACTGAGTTGGGAAGTCCGTTGAAAGTTCTGAACACTTTTCAGACATAATTCGGTTGTTAACTACCCAACAGTTTATATCTTATGTGCGTAATTACTTAATTATCTAAGTGTAGTTACAGGATGAGAGCTACGCTCGTGGTGTCACGTCATTCCAATCATCTTTGGCATGACTGAAACTGCTGATGGTGTGGGCATCCACCCCCCTTCATAGTGGTTCCAACCGTCTACAAATACGTTCACAAAACAGAACTTTCGGACAAGTTCTCGGTAACTTTGCTTTTTAAGCTTAATTGTGTGATACGTTTTTCTATTATATTATCACCACATACTTGTATGTGATGATCATATCTTCCTTTTTTCTTTAGTATGTATTAACTTCTCAAGTCTTCCCTTATATCTCTCGTTTTCTAAGTCTGAAGCCATTTAGAAGCTTGTCTTTGCACCTTTTCTTATTTTGTTTATGTGTTAATTTATATATTGATGCTACACAGTTGCTGCATTCTCCAATTTAGGTCTCACGAATGTAGTGAATAATTTTATTAGTATTTCCCAAGCCATGCATTTAGGTGATTTTGAAATTCACAAGTGTAGGCTCCTTTCACAACATATTTAATTTGTTCTCTGGTGACAACTTACTTTCGAAAACCTTCCCTAAATCTCTTTCTTTGATTTCTCTAAAATAATTCCACGTAACTTGTAAGTTGCTTGCGGCTGACTTTCCCGTATTTCACATTTCAATACGTGGTATTTTTCAACATTAAATTTCATCCGCCATGTGATGCTCCACTCACTTATTTTGTCTAAATCATTTTGATGGGCATGTTGTCATCTAAGTCATTTACGTTCCCAAATATTTTATCATTATCTTCAAACATATTCGTATAACTGTGAATTCCCCCCAGGTAGATCGTTTATATAGACAATGAACATTATTGGCATTGGAATTGAACCTTGTGGTACTCTACTAGTGACACTTCTCTGGTCGGATACATTGCCACTAATCACTGCTCTCATATGTATTCATTCAGAAAATTTTGATCAAAGTTTATGCAGTGATTCTACTCATATGAAACGTCAAAGTGATAAATAGGGGCTGTGGGAAGCAGAAGATAGAAATAAACTATATATATATATATATATATATATATATATATATATATATATATATATATATATATATATATATTAACACATTTAGGTACATCTGCATTTGTGCAGCTGCCCTAGACTATATGAAGGGGAGTATAGTGTGAGTCATAAACCTAGCTACGTGATGCTAAAAATTCCCATCACACAGGATGGTTAGTCATACAGAGGCATGTGATCAGTAGTCTGCACTGACGAAGTCTCGATGCATTATGAGGATAACATCATGAACACTAGAGTGAATAAGATAGCAGTGATACTAACAGTGTATATTTTTTTTATTAGTACATGAGGTACATCTGCATTAGTGCAGCTACCCTAGACTATATGAAGTGGAGTACAGTGTATGTCAAAAAGCTAACTAAGTGATGCTAAAAAATCCCCATCACACAGGATGGTTAGTCATACAGAGGCATGTGATAAGCAGTCTGCACTGGCAGACTCTGAAAGCATTTTGAGGATATCATCAACACAAGATTGAATAAGGTAGCAGTGGTAATAAAAGTCCCCATCTCGCAGGATGGTTAGTCATACAGGGCCATATGTTCAGTAGCAGGCACTGGCAAATTTTGGGTACACTGTGAGAATATCTTCAAGAATACGAGAGTGAATAAAGTAATTGCAAAGCTCCAGGTACTTCATGCCAACTGGTCTGAAAGGTCTAATAACTGGGCATTCGGTGGTGTAGTGTGGGAGATCATGCCGCAGTTCCTGCTCACAGAGTTTGCACCTAGAGTGCTCAGGATTGGGAGATCCGTCACCTGTAGCCACCTGCCACAGGTGACAGTGTCCCAACCTGATCCTTGCAACCACTGTGTCGCACAGTCTTGTGGACGTTTTGTGCTGCCCATAGATATAGGTTTCAGATCTGAACAAATCATAGCTTTTAATACTAGTACTTTCAGGTCGTTGGGAGTTAGTAATATCTTTCCTATCAGACCTGAGGGTTTGGACCAATACAGTTTTGACAGCAGAGATGGGGGATACCTAGATCTAATTCAACTTCATCTTTGTTAGACGCTAATTTGGCTGCAATGTCTGTCTCATTATGATGGGTTATATTTATGTGTGAAGGTATCCATACAAAGGAGATTCGAGACCCTTTACTCTGTGCATCAATTAGGTCATTTATAACTGGTAGTATGAGGTTCCTGCTATCGATCTTCCAGGAGAAGTTTTCGATTGCTTGAAGAGCAGACTTTGAATCACAAAATATTATTCCTCCTCCAATGTTTTTTAATGTACTGGTAGCTAGTTGTAATGCTGCTAGTTCTTCTTGTGTGAAGGTCAGCCAGTTGTTTAACCTGACACTGACAGTCTTTGTGCAAATATTATTTCTATAAAACCTACATACTGCTGCTGCAGTCCGTCCAGTAGAAGATTGGACTGAGCCGTCGGTGTAGACACAGTGCTCGTGAGATCTTAAACTCTCGATGGAGGAGGCAATTGTTTCGAGTGTGACAGCTTTGAGAAGAGCAAGATTCTCATTACCTTTCTTGGTGACAGGTGTGTATGATACTTGAATGGTGGGGTACAGATAAAGAGGAATATCAGAGACAGGTAGATTGCACTTAAAAGGAATGTTGAGTTTAATGAGATTGTAGGCATTGTTGCTCAGCCATTTATCATAAAAGGAGCGAGTCGGTATGTCGGCACCAGTCAATAGGATGTTAACAGCACTAAATAAGTTGCCTCTGAGCAATGAAGGAGATGTAGGGTCTCTCATGACTTCAAGGCAAAAGGTCGTGTTGACTTGCATGATTAACAATGTATATGCGTTTAACTTAACAAGTTAACTCCACGGAAATGCAACCCGCGTTTCCTTTACTATTATCACCATGTAAGATGGCAAGGAGAAACCAGAGGAATAAGACTGCACATGTAAGGAAGACGACCACTTCGAGAAAACTTGCAGATGAGCATCAGTGGTTGCTTGATTTCTTCTTCTTGTGGAATAAGTTGAGTATCATTGGTTATATGATTATATGTTATTATTGACTATACACATTTTCCCTTCAAGAAATTGACTATTCATGTTGGGTGGTACTTGAAGTATTAGTAAGAATGTTTACCGTCCATAGGGTTCTTTGGTGGAGTAAACTCCTCTAATCATAAAGTAGTCCCCCGCCAAGGAATATTAACCAAATTACAGATCTAATGATATTCTATAGGCATAAGTCTCTTAACATGCAAATGGGAAGCATACATACAAATTAGGATATTACTGACTGAATATAGAAATGATGACACAATTAAGGGTGCGTGATAAAGATATATTGTCCGTTAATATTATGTTGAGCTGAGAAACTCTATGATTGCCAGTTGATGAAGTCGGCAAAGCAGCGGGTCACGTGATGGCGCAGCATCTTCCAACACTGTCGAGATGCACAGTGTAAACAATACACACATGTGATATACACAGAGAAATTATATTAACGTGATATATCAAAGACCAGCTTTCAGTGACAGCCTCGGGACCCTCGTGGGGGCAGTAGCACTCCGGGTTTGACCAAGTCGTGGAACAGTTGACTAGAGCGCGTCTGGAGACACTCAGCGCATGGGTTCGAACCCTCATCAAGGCTCCTGTGGGTTTGTTATGTGTGATATGTATTAAGGGGACCGGATATACAACTGGTATACAGCTTCGTGACACCTGGTATACAGCCTCGTGTCCTGGTATACAGCTTCAACACACCCGGTACGGAGTTTTCTTAATAATCTCATGAAAACAAAATTTTCCATATAGGTCTTTTCACACACACACACACACACACACACACACACACACACACACACACACACACACACACACACACACACACACACACACACACACACACTACCCTGAAATCGACAGGGTAGATAAAGACAGGTTATTTAACACAACTGGAACACGCACAAGGGGACACAGGTGGAAACTGAGTGCCCAAATGAGCCACAGAGATATTAGAAAGAACTTTTTTAGTGTCAGAGTGGTTGAGAAATGGAATGCATTAGGCAGTGATGTGGTGGAGGCTGACTCCATACACAGTTTCAAGTGTAGATATGATAGAGCCCAATAGGCTCAAGAACCTGTACACCTGTTGATTGACGGTTGAGAGGCGGGACCAAAGAGCTAGAGCTCAACCCCCGCAAGCACAACTAGGTGAGTACACACACACATTATACTATTCAACAACTGGGATAATTAAAAACCAGTAGTAAGGAACTCCTACATATTTTATAGGTACACGAAAGTAAAAAGTAAATATATACCAAACAAACTTGAATAACATGTATTAGAACTCATCAAGAATATAACAAAAAATATATAATATTGTCCATGTTTGCAGGTTGTTATCACAATAAAGAGCAAGAAATATAAGCACATCGAGAAACACCGAGTTAAGAGTAAACTTCACTGAACATGACTTTATTAAATCTGAAACAGACCCGAAAGTCATCTTCAGGTACATTTTATTCTGAAGTTGGTGTATCTGTACACTGTTGCCTGCACCCTGTGCTCCCTTCAGTCATCTGTAAGCAGGAGTGGCGTCAGTAGACTGCGTTTAAACGTGTTACTGGACTCACTACAGGTGGGGCGAGTGCGTTTAACGTGTTACTGGACTCACTACAGGTGAGGCGAGTGCGATTAACGTGTTACTGGACTCACTACAGGTGAGGCGAGTGCGATTAACGTGTTACTGGACTCACTACAGGTGAGGCGAGTGCGTTTAAACGTGTTACTGGACTCACTACAGGTGAGACGAGTGCGTTTAAACGTGTTACTGGACTCACTACAGGTGGGGCGAGTGCGTTTAAACGTGTTACTGGACTCACTACAGGTGGGGCGAGTGCGTTTAACGTGTTACTGGACTCACTACAGGTGAGGCGAGTGCGTTTAAACATGTCATCTGACTCACTACAGATGTAGCGATCACTGAGTTCAGGATTTTATTCACGATGCTCGTGAATAAAGGGTTGATTGGGAAACGTCCTCCGAGGCTTCGAATCATGAAGTCCTGTGAAGTAAACAGGGAAAATAAATATTAAAAGTACTCCACAGGGGGACAGATACAGATAATCCCGCAGTAACTGAGACATTTCAAACCGCACACAAAATTATAAATCAACTGTAAATGTATTAAAGGAAGTACGAGAGCTCTGAGAGGAGTCACAACATGAGAGGAGCGCTTACTGGCCACAGGTCGGTCGACGAAGCCGTGCAGACCGAAGCTGGATGTGTGGTAGTTGGTGGCCCCGAGGCGCCTCTGGCCGGGGAAGGCTCTCCTCTCTGTGACGATCTGCGGGGCGCCCAACACCCCCACCAACACCGCCACCAACACCAGCAACACCTGTAGTTGTTACAGAGAGCGTCCGTGTTGAAACATGTTGCGTGGAACAACTAGCTTTCGTCGCAGAAACATTTTTCTTATGCATTAATTCTAAATTTACTTTTTTTGGTTTTCCTATAGAATCACTATTTAAATGTCCAAGATTAATAAGCCAATGAAAATAAATAATAATAAGCAGTTTTGTCGGGGACAGGCAGCCTCCGTATATACACTTTAGGGTTATATCGAGGTCACTTAAGGTCGAGTTACTGACCTGCCCCAGGATACAACCCCATAATACTTCTCTAACTTCCGGGTTCCTATTTACTGCTAGGTGAACAGCGCCATTAGGTGATTGGGAAATGTGCCCAACCACTTCTGTGCCGCCCAGGATTCAAACCCGGGATTCTCGATTGTGAGTCAAGAACGAACCCACATTGAACTAACAAGACCTTGTTACAGTCTGAAAGGATCGTAAACTTGTACATCGGTTGATAAAAGGTTATAGATGAGGCCCAAGACTGGGAGAACTGACCCAACAAGAACACTCAACCAGGCTGGTCATTAGCCACAACTCAAGCCACACCTCTCATCACAAAACATTTCGTCCAAAATTTATGTTCAAAACCTGTAGAGAACTCGTTCCTTTACTCACAATATGAACCTTCATCGCTGGTGGCCACAGTTGCCGCTTGACCTTGATGTAACCTGTTGAAAGAAGGAGACTTCATCAAGATAGTAACTATGTGTACTGGACTGATTATCACGCATCATTTTTCAAGGTGAGATTTGCTTTGATATAAATATATGTTTTGAGCTAGGCTATGTATTTCTTATATTTGGTAGAAGTGACTTGATTATATTAGTATTCTCGGATATGCTAGTGTAGAATTTTTAGCACAATTGTGCGCATTTTGACTATCACTAACCATAACTGATATGGAAAGTCTAAATAAATTTAACGTTCTAGTTCCCTACGGCCTCTTCAGACGGCGGGCGTAACCAATGAAGTGAATAGTGTGGCGAAGAATCTCATCTTTTAATGTTGTCGCACGCGACGCCTCCATCTAGGAGAATAGGAATAGTGAAGCGGGAAATTTATAAACGTCCGAGGCCACACTGGAGTCTCGTATTTACAGCGTAAAACCTTGGACAATATGGACGACGTTCCGTGGTATCTCTCTCGTCTGGGCACTACTAGCAGTAGGGAGAGAGTCCAGGTGAGAATAAAGAAATGCGATTCGGGACAGAAGTATCAGATTCTGTGACGTGTGAGGGCTTTGTCTGATCCTATATCGGACCCCTGGGCGAGGGGATGACTTCCTTGTTGAGGCTTGCGAGAGACGACACCTTAAGGGCAGGAGACACCTCTGTTTCCAATGACAGCTCTCATGATCGTCGTTGTGACTCTGGAAAATTAGCGGTGCAAGCACGACATCTTGTTGGCGGTGCGCCAATTCTGCTGCCGCGTACGCCACCACACTCCCGGGAATTCAAACAAGATTTAGGGATACCACACCAATTCCTCTCGAATCAGTGACGTCGTGTGCTGATGTACTCGTAGCCGTCTAGAAGACACAGTATGAATGGCTGTTGTGAAGGTTACATAAAATACGACCACTGAGGAGTGGAACACCTATCGAAGTACGCGGAGAATTGCTATCAGTTCCCCTGCCAGGCTGCAGAGTGAGTTCGTCCGTGTGTTTACCAACTTGCAGTAGCCCGTTACCAGTAAACATTTATATATATTTGACCTTTCGTCTCCTTCTGTGAAACGCTACAAAATCACAGCTGTTAGATCAAATGTATCTTTTGCGTCCGTAGTCCTCTTGCTACGAATACAACATTATGCCGAATATAAAAGCTGGCACCTGTAGAACAATATGAAGCACTCAGGAAACCTGTGTCTACCCGTAAATATTACCTGGGACGTGTGTGTGTGGTAGGAAGGGAAGATGGCCCGGCGATCACCTCAGGACAGGAGCCGTGGTATGCAGTCACTGCCTTGATCGGCTCAACCTTCCTCTGCTTTATATTGATTTGGCCCAGGTGCCAACTGGGGATTTATTTATGTCTAATTTGTATCTGACCAAAGGTAAAATATATAATTGATTTAATTAATACATATATATAATTCATTTGATTAATTGTGAAGGAAATTCCCTTCAGCGTTTCAACCATTTAAACACCTCGTAACGCCGATGATAAGGGTTTAACATATACACAAGTCCACCCTCTTTGTGGTGTATATACATTGAGAGTTTACTTCCGGACTGTGTTTAGTACTTAAATATACTTATTAGTTCATCAGTAAACTATTATAGTCGCTTTAATAATCATCCCACATCAAACCCAACCTTTTTACTTTATATTTAAAGAAACGAACTAATCAATCATTTTGTTATGAATAGTTAAGAAAACTGATCAAGCTGAGGATCAGAAAATGGAGGTAAAGGTAAAAAAGTGTAGCAAAAGGCAAACTAAGAAATTGTTATATCTTACTGTTTAAACTGTAAAATCCGCATCGGAAAATGCTGAAGGGGAAAGGGAACTATGAGGAGAATGCGCCAAACCATTACGACTATATAACACTTGGAAGGGGTCAGGGTAAGGATTTGGGATGGGACGATGGGAAAGGAATGGTGTTGAGAAAATGATAAGTATAGAGATGAGCCATGGAAGGTGGTCGAGTAACGGCCGGCGGATATCACTGGTTGTCATGACCCTGACTGTCCCTGTTGAGAGTGCTAACACGAGGCTGCTCGAGGTCCCACCACGATGCCCAGGTAATATTAATCACAATCATTTCCATGGTGATAGGCTCACCTGTTTCTGTAGCATAAAATTTGCAGTGACACTTACTACACTTTTAGTAATACTTCCGATTTTTATATGATTGTAGTGTTTACCTTTCTTCAGCTGCTGTAACTTGACATGTGGCCTTGCATGGCCCAATAGGCTTTCTGCAGTTTACCTTCTTCTGGACTATATTTTAGCATTACAACATTTTTTAGAGGAGTCTGTACCCCCGTCCAGTAGAGTAGTGATCAGAGGAGACTAGTTCATCTAGTAGATACAAATCAGAATAACCATTTAACTGGAATTCTTAGTAGCAACAATATTGAACCAATTATTGAATTATTGCTTCCGTTCTACTCTTAGTGTTCCTAGTAGAGACTCCGGGGTCGTAATCCTTGCTGGCGTGTGTGAAGAGCCTCTCATAATCTGTGGAGGAACACATGAGTCCATAAGGACGGGCGCCTTCGTTTAGTCGGTGTGGAAGCCTAATTCAATTTGCTGGCCAAAGGGTTTGGTAAGGAGGGGGTGGGAGAGGGAAGATGAGAATTTAGGACATCAATATGAAGATGGATAATAAAGAATAGTGTCCAAGCCACTTTGGGTGTGTTGGTGATTTCGTTACTAGTGTTATTTTGCATTGCTTGCTTGCAGCACATTGTTTTGGGACGATTCTGTTTTGAGAATAGAGTGGGGTTGAGCGAGGAAAACCACTCAACCAGTCCTCGACTCAAGTCCATTACATCCAGCGGTCGACCCCAAAGACGCATTCATAAATTTGTACATGATGTTCATTCAAAACGAGAATTTTCTCAAATATAAATTAATATTATAAGATATTAACATATTGTGCAATTTTTTTTTTTTAGATATATATAAGAGTTGTTACATTTGTTGGAAATAACCAACAGTTTTATACATCTTTGTATTTTATGCAACCTTTGTATTAACCACAAGTAGTTACTAAAATTACTAACTTGTAGATTTAATCATTATCATGATTTATTTAGACATATTGCCAGATTCTTCCTAGTCAGAGTGACGACGTGAGGAACGACATGCAATAACATGAATTCTCTCCACATTTAGTTGGATTTATAACAGAGTCCAGTTTATCATTTCCTTTACTAAAAATAGTTACTTACTAATAAGTTTAATTTCGTAGTATACTACTACTTACTGGAACTCCCTTATTTAGTTGATATTAAACATTCTAGAGGAAAATACTTTAATGTAAATGATTTTACCTTAATTTCCTCGATTAGTTGCCCAACTTTAATAAACCAATTTATGTTACGAGAAATTCTATTTATCACAGAAGAATTTAATGTGATATTAATACTCTTCACTACCTCTTCCTTTCTTAGTCAATTGCGATATATACACACATACATTTACGTTAGAGATGTCTATCGAGAGCCGCGCATGCGCAATAAGGAAGAGGAGGAAGACGGGAGAGCGTCACTAGACACGAGAGAGCACGACGCGGACGCCATTGACAGCGTGTAGCAGAGCTACGTTTTGATCCCATTTATTTCGCTCCCACGACCAGTAGAGTGGTGCCATGTTATCTGGCACAGTAGCCGTGTCCCAGACTAGCATATGAGCAATTCCAACGTCAACGCCTTTCAAGCAGCAGCTGGAGGACGAAGAATTGCTCAAGTCACCACACCAACGGACACGCGGCTCGGCAGCTAGGTTTACCTTTTTGTTATTATGTGGTCACAATTAACATTTAGGCTAGTTGTCGTTAGGCCGTAGAACAAATAATACAATCCCTACCAAGGCGACGCCAACCGAGGTGCTAGGCTTGCCCACCGTTCCTTGCAACACTTTAACCTATGCAACACGTCGTCGGTGGAGCGTAGCAACTGATTACACCTCTCTAGATTTACAGCTAAGCTGTCCCTTTTTTATCTGTAGCAATAACTCTGTAGTTACAGTAGTGATGTCTCAAAGAGATCAATTACATTAACCCATTGATTTATATGCTATACTATTCTATTCAACAGTATATTGAGGTGCATTTACCTCCAATTAATATTATATAATCAACCTTATTTACTTTCATATTTTATTTACTCTGGTGAAGAACCAGCACCAGAATAATGCTAGGGATGTGTTAATCTTTTAGCATGTAACCCCCCAATTTTGTGTAAGTTAATTTGACTCCATTTATATAAGAAATACAGTTTCACTAAGATCCATAGGACACTAGTTCTAGGGATCAGTTTTTTCCATTGCTTTATTTTGTTTTCCACTTTTTCTCAAAAAGTGGTGGTCCTTCTTAGCTATCGAAGTATATATTTAATTATTAGTTATTGGAGTCAGGTTTTCCCCACAACATTCTTGTACAGCCACTAGTACGCGTAGCGTTTCGGGCAGGTCCCTGGAATACGATCCCCGCCGCGAAGAATCGTTGTTACAACCAAGTACACATTTTACTGTTGAGTTAAACAGGCTACAGTTAAGGATTTGCGCCCAGTAAATCCTCCCCGGCCATGATACGAACCCATGACAAAGCGCTCGTGGAACGCCAGAAGAGTATCTTACCACTACACCACGATTGATTGATTGATAAAGATTAAGCCACCCAAGAGGTGGCACGGGCATGAATAGGCCGTAAGTGGTACAATTTTTTTTTCAGTACTCAGAGGTTGCATTTAACCATCAAGCTGTTATCGCGGGGGAGGATACTGCTTCACAGTCTTTATGAGGGTGTCCAGCTGCTGGACACCTTTGTTGACCAGGAGAGTGGCTGTGTTGATGGCTTCAGGGTGGCCACTGCAAGATTCAGGAACTCTTAAAGCTCTTTTAAGGTCGTTGGTTGCTTCTCATTCCAGAAGATAGTGAAGTAATGGCTTTTCTGTGACAGTTTGGCAGAAAATGCACCCCCTCTGTCGGGGTTCACCAATCTCGGGGTTGCATCTGTAACCTAGACGTAGTCTATATAACCTAACTGCTATTTCCCTGTGGATTCCTTTTGGGATATTTAACCTTTCTAATTTGGTTGCCTGAAGATACCATGTTGCAGATGGCGAACCTTCAGCTATTCTCTGGTGTAGGTAGGCTTTGTTGAGATGTGAGAGTTTTTTGGTGATGATGTTTTTAATGTTCTCTAGGCTGGGTCGAATTGTTTTATGTATCACTGGATGATGAGTTGCCAATTTAGCAATTTCATCAGCTTTTTCATTTTATGGGATTCCAACATGGGATGGGATCCAGTTTAAGGTTATGTTGAGTCCTTTGCCTTTAGCGACTGCTCCAAGATACAAAATGGTGGTAATTATTTCCTCATCTCATCTTCAGAAAGACATATCTGCTTTGGAGAAAGTTCAACACCGGGCGACTAAAATCTTTTCCGAACTAAGTCAACTTTCATACCAGGAACGGTTGAGGGCCATAGGGACCAGATATGACAGGGCTACTCTCAGCAAAACTTAAATTACTGAACAATTTGGAAAATATTGACCCAGAACACTTCTTCAAAAGGCTAGATGTAAGACGAACAAGGAGCAACGGTTTCGAGCTCAACAAGCCACACTGAAGGATGGAAAATATTTGTTTTCACCCATTGAATTATAAAGTTGTGGAAACGTATACCCGCCGAAGTTTTAAATGCCAAAACATTGCTCGATAAAATCCCCAAAACAAATTAGAGGGGCCTTCAACAAGCCAGACAACCTTCCTGTCCTCGTCGAGACCGCTAGAGAGAGATACCTGAATTTGCCCGAGGGGCCACCCCTCGAGTAAATTCAGGGAGACCATGGAACCACTCCTGACGAAGCCGTAAATGATAAAACATTACTCTATAAAATCACCAGGGCAAATAGGGGACATTTGACAAGCCGCTTACTTCCTATCCTCACTGAGAGATAGTGAATCTGGTAAATTCAGGTAAATCTTAGCTAATTAAATAATCCGGAAAAGTTTGCTTATTAAAGGCAGGGCTGTGTTAGCAGCATTATACTCTCTGAGCAAAGCAATGCACTGTTGCCCCCATCCCAGATGATGGGCACTGGGGCCCATGCCTGTGGTCCTATACTTACAACCACAGTTCTCGTCTGTGGACCCTCCCTACTCTGGTAGGGCTCTCGGTATGCTAGGTAGAGTTAGGGGGGGTGGGTTGTTTGTCTGGTTAGGTTAGGTGTTTGTTTGCTAGGCCTGTGAGTACACACTGGTCGGGCTCTGGTTACACAACTGGTCAGGATATAGTCGTTTCGGACAC